AGCACACAATAGATATTATTTATAGACCACATACCTTTAAATTCAACCTAGTTTTTTAAAAAAAATTTGAGCTATCATTATAATTATGGTCCATCTTTAGTGCCGTTTGATTAATCAGACCTGTTCTTTTATGGTTACAGATGCCAATGATGGGCAGGGTTTTGGATCAACTGTTAGAGCAGCCATTATTGGAGTTGTAGTTCTTCTTGGTAAGCAAGTTTGATTTAAGCTTAGAATGAGACTACCCTGACAACTTTTTGTAAGAGACTTTTCTGGAGCACAAGGGACTATTGAAACACAGTAACTCCTCACTTAACGTTGTAGATATGTTCCTGAAAAAAATGCAACTTTAAGCGAAACACTGTTAAGCTAATCCAATTTCCCCATCAGAATTAATGTAAATGGGGGGTGGGGGGGTAGGTTCCCGGCAATTTTTTTTTTGCCAGACAAAATACTATTATATCTATATACACACACACACAGAGTATAAGTTTTAAACAAACAATTTAATACTGTACATAGCGATAATGACTGTGAAGCTTGGTTGAGGTGGTGGAATCAGAGGGTGGGATATTTCCTCCTGCTAAATGATAAACTAGCAATTGGCTGAGCCCTTAAGGGTTAACTCATTGTTAATGTAGCCTCACACTCTACAAGGCAGCATGAATGGGGGGGGGGGGGGGTGTTGCGCATTTCCCCTTTAAGTATGCTGACCCCACTCTTAAGTACACTGCCTTGTTAAATTAATCAGCAAGCTGAGACCGTAGCTTCTGCCAGGAAGCTCCCTCCATCCTGAGCCCTGTGGTATCCCCTGTCGTCGTCCCGCTCTATGGAGATGGGATAAGTGGGAGATGCAGGGGGTAGGGGGACACCCTGACATTAGCGCCCCCCCCCACCCCCAAAGCACAGCAAGCAGGAGGCTCCCAGGAGCAGCTCCAAGGCAGAGGGCAGGAGCAGCACATGGCAGTGGGGGAGGGACAGCTGCACTGCTGGCAATTGATAGCCTGCTGGGCAGCTGCTGCACAGGGAACTTAGGGGAGGGGAGAGCTGATAGTGGGGCTGCCGGTCCACCCTGGTTCCAAGCCCCCACCAGCTAGCTGCAACGGGCTGCTCTTCCTGCAAGCAGTGGACAAAGCAGGCAGCTGCCGAACAATGTTATTAGGGAGCACTGCACAACTTTAAATGAGCATGTTCCCTAATTGATCAGCAACGTAACAATGTTAACCGGGATGACTTTAAGTGAGGAGTTACTGTACTGTACTGCAGGTTTGAAGGGTACAGGAGCAGAGGTCCACATGGGACTATGTTTGCCTTCCCCAAGTAGCCAGATGACAGCTTTTTCTCTTCTTTTCTTCAGTGGTCATTGGTTTGCTGTGTATGGGAGGGTACCTCATCTGGAGGAATTGGAAAAGGAAGAACACTAAAAGCATGAACTTTGATAACCCTGTGTACAGAAAGACAACAGAAGAAGAGGATGAAGAGGAAATCCATATTGGGCGGACTGCACAAATTGGGCATGTCTACCCAGCAGTAAGTATCTCTGAGCAAGCTGCCAAAGTAAAAGCTTTTTCTTAAGAAGGTTTGACTACAGAATTATCTCAGCTGATCATGAGGTAGATTACAGGTACTTGGCTTCAGACAGTACATTAAATGAGGGGTTTGTCAAATTTTTGCCTTTTAGATTACTCTTAGACTTGTATGTAGCTCATGTTGCCATATCTTTGGAACATACAGTAGGAATTTACTATATGAGATTAGATCAATTGTCCATTTAGTCAGGTACCCTGTCTCTAGTGGCACTGGGTGCTTAAATCCCTGCAAGTCACCCCACTGAGACGCCCATCATTGTAGTGGTAAGCACTAATAACATGCAAGAAAAATGAACAGGCTGTCCTATACACGAGTTTTTCAAACCAGGGACAATGACTGCTGCTAAATGTTAGGCTGTACCCCGGTGGGGAGGGTTTTTCTCCTGCCCCCAGCTTGCAGTCAGTCTTATGCCTTACTCTTTTCCATCCACTGCCTTTTCCTGCCAACAATAAAGTCCAGTTTCTATTTGCTAGGGGGAACACAATATTTTTCTGCTTATATAATTAGATACAAACCACTAAAAAGTGAAATGCTCTGCAGTGAAGAGTGAATGAGATTCCAAAGGGAGTCAAGGAAAGCTGCCTTAGCATAGAGATGGGATGGAGGAGTAATGCTTTCCTCTACAGTTTCTGCTGTAACTACATAATGGGACTTGCTGATGGAGACACCAGAACCCACACAGTGTGGTTTCTTCAAGGGAGTGTCCCTTCAGGAAACAGGCAGCTTGGATGAAGTGTAGGAACAGTAACTGAGTCGTGAGGGGGAGGACAAAGAGACAGGAGTAAAAGCAGTGCAGGAGCGAGGAAGGGCACTGTCTCAATATCGCGGACTAAGTAATAATAGCAATCCTTGCGCTGCTGTCATACCTCCCATCCGAGGATTTTAATGTGTGTCACAGACATTGATGAACTTGGCCTCCCACCACATCTGTAGTGCACGAAAATAATGCTTATCCCCATTTGGGGGAGGAGGAATTGGAGGCATGAAGGACCAGGTACTAATAAGTACTACTCAGTGTAGGGGTTACTCCATTGAAATCAGTGGGATTTTTTTTTTTTTAGTGAGGGGAGGTGTTATTCATCATGAGTAAGATATCATCAGGTCCAAAGAGATCAAATGATTCTCTGTCACTCAAGCATTTACCACTATTGTGTTTTCCTTCCTCCACAGCGTGTAGCATTGAGCCTGGAAGATGATGGGTTACCTTGAGGACCAAGTCGCTGCTCTAGTCCCATACCTAATGGCATAATATGCACTGAACAGATTCACTTTGGATCATGGAACCCTCCCCCGCCTTTCCTTTTCTTCCCCCTAATTAATTACTATTTATGTTGCAGAAGGGTAACCACAAAGTTATAATGAACTGCAAACATCCAAAGGATGTGAGAGTTTTGTATGTATAATCTTTTATACACGTTTTAACTTGTTGCACTACCCATACGTGATAGTGAAGAGGCTACTACTGCTGAGCTACTAACCCAGTATACATAACCAGCCGGGTTCAATAGCTATGCATCATTTTAAAACTATATTTATAGAGGTTTTGTAAATAGGTTGAACATGCTTTGTGGCTATCCATCAACATAAGTAAAAAAAATTCTATACAAGCGGTTTAGAATATTTATTAACAAAATTGGGATATAAGATTTGTTCTGTAAAGAGGGGTGAGAGTATTTATTTTTTGTATGTTTGGCTTGCTGTGCATATATCTGTCTAGACTAGATAGATATATAAATATATACATATATATACATATAAATATATTTTAAAACTACTAGCCCAAGTCTATGGGAATTAGGGGGATTGAATTCTTAAGGAATGTTTATGGAAAATTTGCTTTGAAGTCTAAAGCCACTGGAGTAAGAAACAGCTGTACAATAGGACAGTCAATGAATGAAGCACTCCCATAATGAATTTCTGCTGTCAAAATGGTTTACTTTGTATTTCAAGCCCAGACAAATGTACTGGCCAGGACTCAGGCACTAGCACCCTTGCTTTCCTTTTTTTAAAAATCTTTACATCCAAAATGTCTCCATACAGTGACTTCTCTTCACTTAGTGTATCTCACATAGAAGAAACTCCTATAGGATTCAACATAGCTTTATGCCGTGTCTGTCTCCATGGAGGTTATTTGGTGTAGGATTTTTTAAGAAAACCTAAATCTGTCATTTTTTTTCTCCTCCATGGGAATCTTTTTTACAGCTTATAAAAAGTGTCTGGTAGTCATATATCAACTCCCTGGAGATAGCTCATCACAAAATCTTTTATTGCTGTGCTGCTACTGATTGTTAACACTGTTAAAATGAATGAAGTGTTAGGAAGCACAGAGATGCAGTCCAACTTGCATACCTAGAATTCACAGCAGGTATATTCCAAGTGGCTGTAGCTGGAACATCCAGCACCATAACAGTGCATTCACCACAGCCGGTTGTCCATGGAATGTGGAGCAACAGGAAGGGGGTTAAAGAACAAAATGTCAGCAGACTGCCCTCGAATATACAGCTCTTGGTAGGATGGCTGAAAAGGTAATTGGAAAAAAACCCAAAACAACCAATCCTTACAACAGTGGTCCCCAAACTGTGGGGCGTGCCCCTCTAAGGGGGGCATGGCAGAGCTCAGGCCAGCCCCCACACGGGACAGGGAGGGAATGCCATCAAGCTCTACTCCTGGCCCCAACTGCGGCCCTGCTTCCAGCCCCCAACTGCGCTCCTGGGGGAGGGTGCAGACCATTGGGGGCAGCGTGGAGGAGTTTGGGGACCACTGCCTTACAAAACCTTTCACTCTCACCTGTTCCTAAAGCTGAGCAACTCTGGAACTATCATACCAGTCCTAGGTGACCTGGCACCCCTTAGGCTATTCTCTCCAATTGGAACAGTGGTGGATGTGCAAAGTTCTTCTACTACAAGTCCATGCACTATGTGCATGAAGGAAAGAACAAAAACTGAGCTGTACATGTCTGTGATAACACTAACAGCAAACTGTAAATATGTTTGAAGGCTCTAAATTTTGATACTTTTTTAAAAAAATAAAATAAACTGTACAAATGTGTGTATAAAAAGCAGCAATTTTTTCAAACTGCTTTAGATTAATTTGATGTCCAGTGCTGGTTTCAAACTTTACAGATTTGTAACCAATCAAAAGAAGTCAGCCACCAAATTTGTTTTTTAAATAAATTATTTTAAACAGTTGGGATTGTTGGGACATTGTTTAACACTGTAACCAGTTCTGATCTCTGTCTTGTCATAATGAAGTTCTGTTAGAATGAGTTCTTGCTTGGTGCCTTTTGTGTTTCAGTTTTCATTTTATGGACAAAAGAACTGCAGGAGTAGGGGGGAGAATATGGTCTGTATATCGTTTGCTGTACTTACATAAAAAGGAGTACTGAAAACCAAATGAATTCATTTGTAAAACAGTGCACTGTTTCCACAGAGAGATTAAATTTTTTTTATCTCGGATTTCTGATGTGTTCTGTTATTTTACAGTACATCAGTGGTTTTCTCCACAGACTATGTCTAAGGGATCTGCAAAGGTTGTCATTACCACAGAACAGTAGTTTTCAGCCTGTGGTCTGTGGACCCCTGGGGATCCACAGACTATATGTCTAAGATTTCCAAATAGGTGTAGCCCTCCATTTGGAATTTTTTTAGGGGTCTGCAAATGAAAAAAGGTTGAAAACCACTGCAATACATAAATGAAAATTTGTTATTAAGAATTGCAGCACTTTGATGCCAAAATATTAGGATCTTATGCAAATATCAGACTCTTCTGATTGACACATACACATCGAACTAGTCCCAAGGAATGGGTCAGCTTTTAATTGCCTATAGCCAAATCAGGACATAGCAGTGTTGCTCTACATCCTAGCTATGTAAGAATTCTCTGTTCTCTTTATGGTCCCAGTAAGTCTGTATTTAACACCCTCCAGTTCTTCCAGTCTACAACTGTGCAGCCCCAACCCTGGACACTACATAACCTTTATATGCAAACGAAGGGATACTCAATGGGCAATTCTGACTACCGTCAAGTCCTCTTTCTCTACTCAGACTGTTTGTCACCTTCAAATTGCACAGAAAATGCTGCCTGTTTCAGTTATGCTTACATTATGTAAAGTTTTATATAGGTGACAGAACTAAAATCCATATAATTTGAGGTTCATATAACCAAGACAGCCTGCTGCACACAAATATATTAACTTTTACCATTACAAAAACCTACATTTTGTCTCTGTTCTGTAAAAGGAGGCATATGGTGCATTTGCTTGCCATACTGTAGAAGTGTTATTGCTTTTAATCTAAGCCATTTTAAGAGTGCCCAGATATTCCAACAATGGATGTCTTATAATACTCATCATTATATTAATAATAGCTTCACAAACCCAAAACAAAATTACAGCACAGCATCTACTGACATGGAGACATACACATAAGAACCAAACTTCAAAAATAATTGTTACACTTCGTTTGGTAATCTTGGATAATACATTATGTATGGTTTGGAAGACCAAATGGCAATCTACTACTATTCTCCTCATTACATACCAACCAGATCAACCAGAAACAGGCTAAAATCTGTAACGCTCACTGCTACTGATTAATTTTGTAAGCATCACTGCTCTGTCAAGTTTAACTACCGGTAACTACTACATGACTGGTTAAATAAGGAGGAAAAAAATTCCCAAAACTGTACAAGATTAAAGTCAATAATGTACAAAAACTAGGGCTGGTCAAAGATTTTTCCATCTAAATTATTTTTTGATTGAAAATTGGGTTTTGACTACAGCAAATTTTTCGCTAATTTTGTCTGCCCTTCATTGAAATTTTTAATTTTTCATTGAAACGCTGAATGCCTGAAAACTGATATTTTGGTTTTTAATTTTTTGCCAAAAATGAAGTTTTTCATTGAAGGAAAAAGCCTTGTCCAACCAGCTCCAACAAAAATGCTCCATCTCTGCAGGAATCCATAAGCTAACCCAGGTGTAATGTTTTGGACTGTTATTGTCTATATTACAATAGCACTGTCGGAGGCTGTAAGCATGCACTAGAATCAAATCTCTCACAGGGGCCTTGAATGCCCTCATATATGGTGGAGGGCCATTAGGGCCACACTGGAGCCAGAGTCCCCAGGAAGAGTGCTGACAGAGAACTCGGGGAGGTAATTTGTAGTTTTAGAAAGCAATGGGGCTATAAAAAAAAGTCTCTCTCCAGTTTTTCCTTAGCAGTACTTAGTTTTCTGGCTAATGTGGTTTGGAGCCAATTACACAGTATACCTCCACCCTTCAAGTGGGGTGGTATAATTCCCAGCTTGAGGAGACATACCCACTCCAGTTCTGATCAAGCTAGCGTGCTAAAAATAGCGTGTAGCCACAGGAGGGGCTAGCCACCCTGAGTACATAACTAGAGTTTTTGACAGGATTATGCTTGGGGCGACTAGCTGCTTGCCCTGCTGTGGCTACACTATTTTTAGCATGCTAGTTCAATCAGAACTAGTGCAGGTATAATCTCAAGATGGGAACTACACCCTCAGTGTAGACATACCTTTAGTTAAAATTGAAGAGGGACAAACTCAACAATTTGACATAGATGTAGCATTAAACAGTGAAACAGCTCAATACTTTACAAACCCCCCTCTGAGGTGTCACACTTTTCTTCTCCTGAGGGCACGCGTCTTTACCTCTTCCACGAATCAACAACACAGTTCTTCCTGCCATGGTAAAGCCAAACGTTGAACTGCTGTAGGAAGTCCCACAACTCCCTTGACCTGGTGAAGATGCAAGCAGCATAACATTACCAAGGGCAGTCAGGCACTAAACACACAATAAGATGTAAACAGACCTCTATTCACCCCCGACCCCCTGTCAAAAGAATAAATATTGTAGCAAGAGAGGTACATACAGAATGTACCAGAGTGACTAGATGCACTTCCAGAGATGCAGGAGATTCTTATGTCCTATAAGGGCTCCCAAAATCCTACCCACTAATCCAAACTTTGACTATCTGGGGCTCTCGGTAGCAACACGGAAGTGGGCAGGATTTGTCTCCGATTGACTAGGAAACTTTGCCTCAGTGGGAAGAGACCCTCCTAACATAGAGCCACGTGTCGTAAGATCTGCCTTTAAGTCTTTTCTCTACAGTCACCTTTGTTCTTTGGAGGAAGTTTATCTACTTGATTTTTACATAAGGTGGCCAACAAACACCAGTGATCACATCAAATTATGATGATTCACTGCTTGTTAGAACTGAGAAAAATTAAATTACCATCAGGTCAAGATTCTGCTTCCAGAGGTTTTTTTCAGTGTCCTGAAAAGTTTGCAGAAGAAAATCAAGTAAATGTGTAATGGTTGCAGATAAATGGAACAAACAATCCTACAACAGGCCATGTGAACAATGTGGTAACAATACAGTTTTAAGTACCAAATTCATTAAAGGTCATTTTTATTCATTAAAAAATGTACAATATTTGTAATCTTATTTTCTTAAAGAGAACACTGTCAAGTAGTTTAGGCCTTTGATTAGCCTGTTATTTTTATATTGAAATATATTCAGAAAAAATAGTTATTACCAAACCTAATAACCTAACCTGAAAACACAAAATCATCTCTGATAAAGTTTGCAGATAACAGCAAAACTGGAGGAGTAGTAAATAATGAAGAAAACAAGTCACTGATACAGAGCAATGTGGCTTGCTTGTAAGCTGGGTGCAAACAGTATGCATTTTAACACAGCTAAATGCAAACGTATACATCTAGGCACAAAGAATATTGATTGTACTTACCTGATGGAGGACTCTATCCTGGGAAGCAGTGACTCTGAAAAAGATTTGGATGTTGTGATAATCAGCTGACTATGAGCTCCCAGTGTGACACTGTGGCTCATGAGTAGTAGAGAGGTTATTTTACCTCTGTATTTGGGACTGGTGCAACCACTGCTGGAATGCTGTCTCCACTTCTGGTGTCCACAGTTCAAGAAAAATGTTGATAAATTGGAGATGGTTCAGAGAAGAGCAGTGAGAATGTTTAAGGGTTAGAAAACACGCCTTATAGCAATAAGCTGAATGGATTGAGTCTAACAAAGAGAAGGTTAAGGGTTAACTTGATTACAATCTATAAGTACCTACATGGAGAACAAATATTTAAAATGGGCTCTTCAATCTAGCTGAGAAAGGTATAACACAATCCAATGGTTGGAAATTGAAGCTAGAGAAATTCAGACTAGAGATAAGGTATACATTTTTAACAATGAGCATAATTAACCACTGGAACAACTTCAAATGTTGTGGTGGATTCTCCATCACTGACAATTTTTAAATCAAGACTGGATGTTTTTCTAAAAGATATACTCCTTTGGGGAAGTTCTATGGTCTGTGTTATACAGGAGGCCATACCAGATGATCACAATGCTCTCTTTTAGCCTTGGAATCTATGAACAAATCTAAACAGAACAGAAAAATACCCTTCCTTTGCTGGTAGAAAACACTGCACAACGAGAATGTGGTGGTGCACAAAAAAAGTTACACTGACAATGAAAAAAAAAAGTTATACAGAGTAGTTTGTATAGAAAAGTCTGTACAGTCTGTGGAGAGAAATGCAAAAAGCGAACATATAGTAAAAAATGACAAATAATGGATACAGAATTCCCAGCATATCAGAGTCCCAATCCTGGTAGGAGTTTTTAGGCATTCCAACTATATTTATAATTTTTAATTCCTGGTAACTTTAGGTGGCGTTAACTACATTACCAAGAATTTTTTTAATATATATATATATATATAATTTTTATCTAATATCACTATTTACACATTTTATCTTAGATGGCTCATGGGACAATTTAAAATACATCTTTGTGGTAACACTGAGTTCTCTAGTTTCATTAAAACACAGTATATCTATGTTTTTATATAAATTCTTCAGCTTCTGCAATGGCTGTGCATCAATGGATTGGGGGTGGATTACTGCCCTCTTCGGGATGGAGTATGTATCAGTTCCTTGCACTGACTCAGCTCTCCATTAGATAGGTCACTGGACAGGGGAACAATGTCTTTTCAACAAAAGTCTTAAATTTCCTTCCGAATCCACATCCTGTCCAAGGGCGGTGAGTTATATGGGTCTGTGGTGCCCAGGCTCCAGCAATATTCAGTGCCCAGGGTCCCGGCGCCACAAATGTTTGGGGCCAGGTCTCTCCCCAGCCCCGCCTGCCGCCCCAGCGCGCCTCCCCGACCACCACTTGCTGCCCCCGCGCGCCTCCCCCAAGCCCCAGAGTGTCCCTGCCTCAAGCAAGTGGCTGCCTCCACGTTGCGCTCTGCTCAGCTGGCTCCAGGCATCAACTGCCGCTGCACAGTCCTAGTGCCCCCCCCACCCACTAGTGCCACGGCAGGCTGACCCTGCCCCTACCCTTCCGCCTCGGACCCTTCCCTTTTCCGTTGGGAACCTCCACCAGCACAGGGGCCCCCCCGCCCACAGTCACCGCTCCTGCCCCATGCTGGGCAAGGGGCAGCCCTACCCCCAGTGAGACTACAGTGGGGCAGCAGCAGAGGAGGAGGTGCACATGTGATGGCAGCCCCCCCCCTCCCCCGTGCACCCACCACAGGGAAGGCGAGGGAACTTCCTGGATCTGAAAGGGTCCCTAGGAGCACGTGCAGTGACAGTGGTGTGAGGTGAGTGTGCTGCCGGGGGCACCATCAAAAATTATACAAATCTGCCACCCCTGATCCTATCTAGTGACTAGGGAGAATGTGCCTCCATGGCCATGAACTGTCAGAAACTTCTCATTACAGGGTGAAATTTACCCCTGTGCAGAGACTCACCCAAGGTCTAGACACAAGTCCTATTTGAGAACTTAAGTGGTGCATATGTTTTGTGAGGGGTTCTCCACATGGGTGAATTTCACCCACAATAACTAGTCTTCCTGGCTAGTTGAAAGCATTAGTAATTAAACTGTTAACCTTAAAGACAGCAAAACACAAACAACCAACAACACAGGAGTCAACGGCGATCATTAGAAAGGAACTGCAGGAGCAATTAGATCAACAAGAAAACATGGAAATCTCTGCTGTAGACTACAAAATATCAACTAAAAGTTCTACACTGAGACCCCAATCCTACAATCCACATGGCAGATCTTTGGAGCACCCACGGACATCAAATCTTTTGCAATGCGCTGCCATAGGAACACTGATTTACATTCCAGGCCTGGTGGTCACCTGTCTTGGGCCGGTGGGAGCTGAGTAAACCATGGAGGGATGGGCAGTCTTCTCCTACCTGTATTGCTGCTGCAGTGCACAGGAACCCGAATCATAATCGGGGCCCCCATACTAGATGCTCAAACAGGTAGATATATATAATTAAACTGCTGCTTTCAGATTCATTACAACAGTTGTGATTGAACATAATCTCTGGCCAGCCAGTAAATAGAAACAGAAGAAAGAAAAGTCCCACCCATTTCTCCAGAAGGAAGGGGTACTGACTCAAGGATTAAGATTTAAAGTTTTGGATTAGAAATTGGTGGCAGCATCCGCCAGAATAAACCAAGAGGCTACAGGCTGAGGAATGTTCTGAGATCTGGATCTTACACTGGATAATGGCTAGCCAGGTATCAAGTGAGATTTGGAGAATACTGAAATTTGATTAGAAACAAACAAAAAACCTTTAATGTGGTGTAATGTATCAATTCACACTCACTGTACACAGCAGTGAAAGAGCATTCTCTCTGTGCTTCACAGAGCCAAGTATTTACAAAGGGCACCTTAAACCTGTGCGGGGGTGGAGAGGGACTGAAAATACTGTAACATTTTAAGAGCTGTTAAGGCAACAATATTTATACTGAGCTAGGAGTTAGAGTAATTTAAGGAAGCAAATATCCTTGGTAATTTGACAGGACAAATGGCGACATTTACCCAGTTATATTGCAAAAAGAAAAGGAGTACTTGTGGCACCTTAGAGACTAACCAATTTATTTGAGCATAAGCGAAGTGATAAGGTTCAAAAGGTTTTCTCTCCCCCGACCCCACTCTCCTGCTGCTAATAGCTCATCTTAAATGATCACTCTCCTTACAATGTATATTTTTTCATGGTCTGTGTGTATATAAAATCTCCTCACTGTACTTTCCACTTTATGCATCCGATGAAGTGAGCTGTAGCTCACGAAAGCTTATGCGCAAATAAATTGGTTAGTCTCTAAGGTGCCACAAGTACTCCTTTTCTTTTTGCGAATACAGACTAACACGGCTGCTACTCTGAAACCAGTTATATTGCTGGATCCTACATGATCAGGGAAAGGAGGGAGCTAAAATATTTTCCATAACTCCAGGTTGGTTCAGTTCTTCCACACCCTTGTCTAAGGACCACCGGTTTCTGTGGAGCTATACAACTTACATTTACAGCTTCCCTATACTACAGGGAAGAAACACTTCTACGGATGAACTGATAAGTTATTTCACGACTCATTCAGTCTCTGGCCTTTGCTGAAAGTGCACCCAACAAAGAGACAATTAGTGCCAGCTAAGTGAAAAATCTTTGACCCTATACATTTTTCTCATATAATCCAGAGCTCCCTTCAAAACTGTTGGTACTTCCAGGTATAATTTTGGTCTAAACACTGAACCTGATCTGAACGGTGAGTTCAGTGTCAAGACAATGAGCAGCAGGAGGAAGGCTAATGTGTTTATGTAAAGGATAGTGAGTTTTGACGGTAGGGAGTTTCTTACAATAAAAAGGTTAGGTGGAGTGTGAAAACTGTTGTAGTCAACTGTACAATGAGACAATTGGATGATAATCTGCATTAGAGCTAACATTCAGTCTATTTATTAGCTGTTAGCAATGACTGTCATAATTAAGTTGCCTGAATTGTCTGCACATTACTTCTGCATCATTAATTTGTCATATTTGCTGTTTATTAGTCTCTCTGGTTTTGCTAATCCCACAGATGGCATGAAATCAGATAAGTCATTCTATCATTTCTAAACTAGAAAATAAAGCTGTAACCATGATTTAAATGCTTAGGGCCTGTTTCTTTGCTGCCTGACACATTGTTCCGTCTCCCCTATGCAAAGTGGATGTAATATGCTACCATTCTGATCTGTAGCATTTTACACCGACTTTGCAATCCCTTTGCACAGATAAAAATTATTTCACAAGGTACCATTATGATCCCTTTATGCTGCTCTCATAGCATAAAGGAGGCCAAAATGCCCCCTGGGGAATTGCTCCAGCAGCGCAGATGGTCCTATGCTGCTTCCCTGTGCAGACACTGGTGTAAGGATGTGTTGGGGACGTGGCTAGTGCAAGAATGGATGGAGGCTATTCTGGGCTGAAAGACAGCCCACTGGTTAAAAAGCTGTTTGAAGGCAAATTTTAAGTACGGAAATTTGCTGATATGGTGCAGTATCTCTTTAAGGCTCTTACAAGTACCTTTGCAGCGTAATGAAGAGTTCAAAGAGATCTCTGAAATAGCGTGTCTAAAATATAAAGACTAGATTATTAATGTTTTAAGTTTACATAGCATGTTGTATTGAACACAGTAAGAACACAATAAAAAAACAAGGGAGGGAAAATTACTTGAAGCATGTTAAGAATGGGGACAGGAGTTATACTTTCTATTAACAACTGTTAAAAATAAATTTGTTTCAGATTTCAGAGGAGGAGTGGGAGAGCAAAGTGGATGTGCAATGCTGCAAATCTTCATTAAAATAAGGGAAGAACTCATCTACCACTGCTGAAAATACAAATTCATTTAGTGAGGCTAAATGATTCGTAGTGTTCTCAAACTGAAAATTACTTAAACTACACTTAAATGCAGGGGAAAACAACTATAATTTATTTTAATATCTTGTGGTAAGGGAGGAAGTTACGCATTAATGTGAAATTTCTAATGTCCCTGATGTAAGAGGTATTCTTCATATAGGAGGAAGGGGGTAAGAATGTGAGTTGATATATTTCACCAGGTAAGGACTGCTGAACATCTGAGTCGCCTTCTTGTTTACCAAATCCAACCACCTGAAAATCCAAAGGCCAGAGGGTTACCAAGAAGACAGTAGAAGTTTGCATGCTTAAAATCTAGACTAAGAGTGAGTCATTTTAAGCATATTTTAGCTAAACACTAAGTTTCAATCTGGACTCCATGGACACTCAATAACTATAGCAGTGGAGACCAAATTAAGGGTATGTCTCCACCGCAATCAGAGGTATGACCACAGCCCATGCAGACATACCTGCGCTAGTGCTGATCTAGCTAGCTCAGACAACAAGAGCAGTAAAGCCACAGCAGCATGGGATAGCTGATAGCCACTTAAGTCTACACCCAGGGTTCTAGGTGGGTTTGTACAGCCTGCGCTGCCAGTGCTTCACTGTTACGGTTATTCACACCAGCTAGAGAACAAAACTCGCTTAGGGTGTCTACACTTTGCTGCAGTCACATCTCTGATTCCAGTGTAGACATATCCATAGGCTTTTACTTCTTTCTGCAACTTTCAGAGTTAAGCAATTTATTCCTAATACTATGAAAACTTTACATAGACAAAATTAAGCTTTATTCCTCTCCTCTGATATGGGTTTAAAGCAGTAACAAGAGTTCAGATATTAATAGCTATAGGAATAGATATTTTCAATTCTATCATTTAACTACTTTTTAAAAAGTGAAGGTTGTTCTTTCTGTTAGGGTGCTTCAAAGTGCTGCAAAGATGACTTACATAAGCCTCTTCACAGGAATCTATTTTAAAAGAAGTTAGTCACAGAATGTGGGAAGGAAGAAAAGAACAGGCCATAGAAATTAAATAAGGAGGTTACTCTTAAGTCAATGGTGTGAAGCACTCTCACCTAACATCATGATGATTCCAAACATACTCACATGTATACTGAGTGCTTTCCTCTCTTTGCCTCTATGAGCTTGGAACCAGTCAACAAGGTCTGATTTAGTTAGTGATTGTAGTGCTTCAACCTAAAACCCACAAGAGTACACTTTTCAAATGTCCAAATTTCACACACATCTTTTAAAAGCACCCTAATTCCCAACAGTTGAACAGTATTTTGAACATCTCTACAAGTCTTCTGCCCTTGTCCTCCAGTTCATCCCAGAACAAACACTTGTAGCAAAATTTTAAATCCTGAAAGCAGCAGTTAGTGACAGAAACACTTGCTGATGCTTATGAAATGGAATTGCTAGAAGTGTCTATGAATTCTGAAGATCAGGTTTGAGTTGTAACTACTATTCATCTTGACACACTTAAGATAAAGATTTCTTTATACAGATCTCTCCAGATCACGATGCATTCAGATGTTGAGGTACTGACTCCACCCTCCAGGGCTCCATATTAATTCTTAATACTAGGTCACTGTATTGACAAGAGGTTAAACTTTCTATTCATGAAGCAATATTCAGTATTGGCGTAAGCCTGGCGCCAGTAAAGTCAGAGAGAATTTGCCATTGACTTTAATTGAGCCAGAATTTCACTCTATATTTCAAATATAAGTATCTAGTGAGACACAGTAAGACAATAACATTGGTTGATTTTTAAGTTTCATTCACTACCTCATAGGCAAGTCTGTCAAAAAGATACTGCTGAGACATTACTTCATTCCAATTTCTATCCACCTCTTCTCCAAGATAGGAATCTTCACATTTTTTAATATGTATTAGAGCACTGACCTGTAAAAACACACTGATTATTATTACTCTTACACAGAAGGCACCATATCAGGAAACGGGTGGAATTCTGCTTCAAAAGGGTTTAGCTAGCTCAGGCTGCTGTGTATCGTATGATTCAAAGTAAAGGTTGAACTTGTGTTAAATGCAACTGTCGGCCTCTAAGGTTGGGACATTTGCTTTGAGTACTGAAATACTACTAGTCCTGGCGTCCACTGAACAAGGCTGCATGTGTCCCCTGAGCTCATTGGGAGCCTTCCAGAAAAACAAGAGTCCAATCTCAGGAAGGGAAGAGTCCAAAGCCAAAAAAGGAAAAAAATCGAAGTGCCCTGTCCTTAGTTCAGTGCCAATTTCAGAAAATGCTACTGTGCACTGCAGCCCATGCCAGGAAGCATGACCATGGAGCACCAGTATCTGATCACTTCCACTTTCTCCCTCTACAAAGATCTTGCATGTTCTGTTTTTAACAATATGGGAACGATCAAAGCCATTCTTATGAGGCTGTGTTTGGGCTGCTTTTCCAGTTTTACCTGAGTCCTGAATGCTTTTTCAGTTAGAAGCCTCATTTTCCCCTCAAAGTACAAAAGAAATTCTTCTATTTTCTTGTCAACTAATTCAGAGCTGAAAGGAATAAGGGAAATGTTAGGAACCATATGAATAACATTAGCAGAACTTAATAAATAAGTGGGGTGAAATCAGTAGTTTTAAATCTGGAGCTAAGAACATGCTTTGCTGTTTGCAAAAGTGAGTCCTTCATTATCCTAAGGAGAAACTAAACAAGAAGGGATGAGGAAAAACAAGATTTTTGAGAGGCATGGAAAGCCCACAGAACATAACCTGTTTGCTCAGGAGCATATAAAGGAAAGACACTGTCAGTTTCAATTTTTAACCTTTCCCTGTCCTAAGAAATAAGGTAACTTGACAAATAAAACTAGCCAGTCCTTTCACATAAGACCACTAAAGATTTATATGCAGGAAGCCAATACTACTTCTACTTCTTTTAATCCTGATAGGTAAGGGCATGGCAGAAATTTGCAAGCAAGCAGTTCTAAGCCATCGAGAAAACATGAGCCTGGGTCCCAGACACAAGCTAAAGGACTGTAGGGAAGCAGGTGTGATAGAGGTGTGAACACTGTTTAAACAAGTGTTTCCCAACTGCTATGTCCATTGGGCTGACATTTCCAAGGAAAAAACATGCAGCAACTTGGAGGGGTGCACAGACAAAGAAAAGAAGGCTGTATATTATTATTGTTTCCAGATTCCCTGCTTCTGTTTTGTTAAAAATTAATGATCAGCAATAAATCTATTTAAAATCAGTGATAAGATGTTGAATCAAACCAGTTTATCATGAACTCTGAGTTTAAGATAAAATAGCATTTGAAAGGACCATTCACTTAAATCGTTGAAAACTGAGATGGGTTTTACTGGCCTATGAAAAGTAAGTCAAGTATCATTTAATATACAGTAGTCTAATGTTCTTGTGTGTGTCATAAAACATTAGAAATGCTGTGCCGTGTGACACTGAAATAGAGAAAAGGAGGAGTGTTCTCAAAAGTGATGATCTTGAAAAGTGAGTGGGGGAAGTAGTTTGCCGAGCCCCCTCATGAGGGAACACCTTACACTGCACTTTATCACTGACCACCCATCAGGATTTCAGAGGGAGAGTCCCCACAATGCCCCTAGGGACTATGGGTAGACGAAAAGGGAACCCTGACCTTTCCCCCTCCATCTGAGCTCTTTGTAGCATTAGAGCCTAAGATTAAAACTGTATGTGGAAAGCATAAGTCATGGCTGTGATTACACAGAATCTACTAAAGAAGTGCACCCTATGGAGCTAACTGAATACCACACATGCATACAGCTTCAGAGAGAAGGCATGCAAGAGTCATCTTTGAAGCACCCTAGCAGAGTGGACAATAAAAATCAAAGGTGAAATAAACCCAGCAAAAAGATTAAAATGCTTCACTCAGTTCAGTGGTAAATGAAGTTGGAGGCAGTATAAGCACATCATTGTTGTCTTAAATAGACCACAATGTGTGGCATGAAAAGACCACCACTGGTTGATCAGATTCACACATGCTCAAAATTTTCACCATTAATCACTAATTTCTTAAAACGTCAGTAAATTCTCTATCAAATAAGGTTGATATGTTAAAACTATACATATGTCATATGTCATAGGGGCATTTTACACGCTCGAAAATAAGAAGTCACCTAACTTAAATGGAGAATCTGTGGTGTGATACTTGTAATATGGACATCAGACTCTGCTCCTAAACAGATTGCAAATGAGAAGAACCACCCAGGACCAGCTCTATTGTGTAAGAGCCATGAGGACACTTTTCAGTGCAGGCAAACTGTATTACACAGGTTTCAGAGTAACAGCCGTGTTAGTCTGTATTTGCAAAAAGAAAAGGAGTACTTGTGGCACCTTAGAGACAAATAAATTGGTTAGTCTAAGGTGCCACAAGTACTCCTTTTCTTTTTGTATTACACAGTTCAGCCATTAGGTGGTGCAATGGACAGATTGGAAGTAACATTTAGCAAGATTTTACTTTGCAACCAAACTCCACAAGGAAACTGGAGACATACAGACATAGTCTTTAATTTATGCTATGGAGAAGCATATCTTTAAATATTTTACATTTACTGAAGACAGTCACAGAAATTACTATGAAAGGGCTCTATCTTCGATGCATACTTTATACCTCAGAGAAATGTGATTTATAAAAGGGCATGTTTACACCAAAAAATTCAACCATCAGAAGAATCTGTTGACTCTTTTATCACAGCTTTACTTGCATTGACAGAAAACTGATTTTGAGACTGTAAAACATGAAAATATTGGAGATAAATTAGTTACAGGGCTTGCAGATAAAAATCTTTCACAGCAGCTAAAATTAAAAACAGACTTAATCCTACACACAGCTATTTAAATAGCAAACTAGTCTGAGATGATGAAACAGCAAAACCAAGAGCAATTCACCAAACCTAAAAAGCAAGAAACAGCTTAGGAGCTGTAAACAGATGCAGCATAACTGCTGAAAGTAATTATCATAAGACCCCTGAGAATAAAATGGACAAATTCCAAGCTAGTTACAAAGCCTTTCAGCCTAATGCAGGAGAGGTGGAAAAATTCATAGCCCAAGACATGTATTTACAGCCAAAGGCGCAAGATATAATAAATGCACAAAATACAGACATTTTGCAGCTCGTTGCTGCACCGAAGCAGTCAGGGAGTTGACCCATATTACAGACAGACAATCAAGAGTCACTGTTTCTTGGATCTATCTCATGTGATCACACAGAGCCTGCCTGGAGAGTGAAACTGAATATTCATGGAAAGACTATTTACTTTAAAACTGACTCAGGAGCAGATGTGACAGTTGTATCAGAAGAGACTTACCATAGCCTTCAACCCCTCTCAGAGGTGAAATCATCTGAGATCAATAGAGCAAACTTTACAGATGGCAGATGCAGAAAAAGAAGATGATGACTCAAAGACTCCAAACTGACCAGAGACAGTCACTGCAATTAATGGACAGCCAGATGACCAAGTTGTTACACATTTGGGTTGTGTAATTAGAAAACCCATACAATTCAGAAACACTTAACAAAATGATATGTACTGAACTTTAAAGATAGCATGATAGTGTTTATTTTGTAAAATTTTATACATGGTAGGACTGTAAAACTTAAAGAGGGAGATGTAATGCTAAACTGTACTATACTGTTACCCACTAGGTGAAGCCATGTATAACATATCTTATCTGCACATACAACAGCTCTAACTAGCGGTGCATTAAAGATGTCTTAAAGAAAACACATCTCCTGTATCTCTCTCTGGGATGGAAGCTCTATAACCAGTCCAAGACAGATTGCCACAAGACAGATATCAGTGCTAAAGTACTGTGGAAAAACATCAGGGGTCCTGAAATATTACTTGGCTATATGCTTACAAGGTGGTAGACAGCTACTACTTCAGCTGAGATCTGGAAAGTTTAGCTCTGAAAAGCCACAGAAGCCCAAAGACCCCTGAGATGGAAACACTAACATGCAATTTAACCACTCTTTTAAATTATTAAGAGTAATAAATTCAGTTTAAGAACAGAAGGGACCACCAGAGCATCTAGTCTAACCTCCAGTATATCACAGGACACCAACATCACCCAGCTACACCACACTAACCCCATAACTGGAAGTAAAGCAAAGAATTACAGCCCTCTGGAGATTTAACTATTGTATGCCCCAGGCAGAAAGCAGGAGAAGGAACTGAGGTAAACCAATGCTCGAGGCCTCTGCAATGGCCAGCAATTGATTAAACGAGATATACCCATAAAAACTCACTTGTTCTTGGTTGCTTGTGTGGTTACGGTAACAGAGAACCCAAGAATCCCAGATGTATTTCTACATTTAGGGTACACATGGTAGCTTAAACCAAAAGGAGAAAAAAAAAGTTCACAATTACAAGTCACTTTACATTTACCATCCACAATTACTAAATTAGAATATTGTCAATACATAGATCTAAGGTTTTAGCAATGAGGCAGCTATCAATTCAAGATTCCCTCTGAAATAACAAATATCAAATCTTTGCATCAAGTGCCCTTGGCCTTTTCTTGTTCAGCAAACAAGTTAAGGTGAGTACTCATGTTCTGAGAAATCCTGCACTCCAGCTCTGTGAAATTACAAGAATCCTTATAGTAAAAGCTAAGATTCTATCATAGGTATTTTTAGTAAAAGTCAGGAACAGGATGTGGGCAATAAACCAAAATTCATGGAAGGCTCTGACCTCTCCCTTCCCTGACTTTTACTAAAAATAACCGGGGTGGGGGAGGACTAACAATCAAGCACTACCAAAGGGCTGACCTCAGACAGTTGCTCCAGCCCCAGGAGGGCTGACCCAACCCCAGCTGCTGCTTCGGCCCTGGGGACCACTGCTCCAGCAGTCAGCCCACTGGCCAGCTGCTCTGGAAGCCCCAGGGCCAATCGCCAGCCATTGCTCAGTGGCCCAGGGACTGCCCTCCAGCAGTGGCTCCAACCCTGCCACTGCTCCAGCCCCAAGGGGCTGACCCAACCCCTGGACACTCCAGCAGCCATGGAGCTGACAGGTACTCCAGCCCTGCCACTGCAGAAGTAGTCCCATCGGTCCCAGAAAGTCACAGAATCCGTGATCTCCACGACATAATCATACCATTACCGATAGTCCAGGTACTGTGCAGTCAGAGTTATTGGAGCCTCTTAGTTCACAGTAAAGAGCCTAAGTAGAACGGGTTGTAGCTGCAGTTGTGACAGGAGTTAATTCAAGTTCAGCAATCCCCACCCTTTTCATATGTGGTCCTGGGAAAGCTACAGTGGTGGCTACTTGGAAGACAGAGTGAAGGCATGTTACTTTTGAGGAAGTCTAGTTCCACAGCCAGAGTCAATGCTGATCACCAAGCTAAACAGATAGTCTTCTGCTTAGTCAAAATTATGTTGCCTTCTGGTTATGGACTCTAACCTGGAGGACAAGCCCTTGCTGACAATTATTTTTTCTGATGAGTAACTTGACCAGTTTAGAGGAGCTTTACTGCACATAACCTTGCCATTCTTACATGGCACCAAAGAAATTGGTGGTTTTGGCTTTAGTATGTTACACTGTACTTTCAGCCACACTGTGTCAGGAGTTAGTTATCATGCAGTAGGGAGTTTCCATAGTAACAAAGTACACAGGACTCATCATATATGATAAAGTAGCTGAACAGGAGCTGTACCCAATGCAGTGAACTTACCCAAGGGTTTGCTTGGTTCGTAGGAAGTTGAAGCAAGGCTCCTCCATGTGCATCTGAATACAGCATGAGTTCAGTCAGAAGACATTCATACTTAGAGCAACAGATATCCCACAATGGCCGCTTTCACTCAGACTTAGTACCGAAAAATTATCAAAACAAGAAACAATGGAAAGCCTAAACCTCAATGAATCTCCTCACCCCAGAAAGAAATTAGCATGGAGTAAAACTATAACCATGTAACCGGATTACAAGATATCCTGATATTCAGGAAGTTTTATAGGAAGAAAGTTTACTCCACTGAATTCATGAGTTAAACCACTCATTGGGTTTCCCCAAACACTTATAGGAGAAATAAAAGGCTAATTCAAGTGGGTCACATGTATCACTAAGATCTGTAGTCTCATCTTGACACCAGCCATTGTTTTCATGGCAGACACTGTCATGTATAGGACACAGATACTCCCTCTATGGACACACATTAATAAACACTCAAGCGTTATTAGGAAATGAACAAAACTTACCACAAGCAGCTCCATAAGGGTGTATTCTCTTAAACTCCTAGCCCCAGACTAAAACCAAAAACATTAATTGAAAACAGTTTAGGGGTTTCTCATGGAGCTAAGAGCTATGGTCCAAGTTACTAGAGGGGCCTTTTTGAGAGAGAGAGAGAGAGAGAGAGAGAGCGAGCGCGCGAGCGCCATTCAGAGCGGATTGCACCATTAAGTACATTGCAATTTAAAAAAAGCAATCTGACTTTCTGGCCTCCAATGTGTCCTCAAAGAAGCCCTCTGAGTGGAAGACAAGGGCTGCTCATGGCAAAGGGACCAGAATGGGTGAAAACACAATCTTGAGGTAATCAAAGAATAGGGGGCATCAACAGGCACAATCTGTGGGAGAAAAGGTGAGGAAGGAAGGCAATATCACGGTGGAAGTGGATGCAACAGGCCTGCATAATGCATAATAGATCTAGAATTTTCACAAAACAATACAGACTATAACTTCATTAAGAGTTTTTAGAAACTTGGGCCTTGTTCATGTGTTTATGGGATGACTAGAATTCAAGACATATTCTTAAAATAATGGTTGGATAATTTTTATGCTGATGGCTTTCCTAATCCAGACTGCACAACAAGTAGCAGCAGTCATCACAAGGAAAATAAATGAGTATACTCAAATGTTTAACACATTACCTGATAATAGACTGTCACTTCAGAGTTGGCATCACCTCTGTTAAGGGTTTTCACCTTGCAGAGTAGGTGTGTGTTTGGCAGGTCTACCACTCGAAATTGAACAGGACATGGGTGTGGCAAGGGAAAGAACTGCAGTTTTCTGAAGGGAGTCCAAACAGCAAAGTGTCAAACACTTGTCCATTCCTTAACCCAAAACAAAGAACCATAATCTTCATAATCTAGGTGCCTCAATACTCAAAACAGCTTCAATCCCCTCCCCCTTCTATAACAAATCTAAAATCACATCCTACTTGAACCACCATCAGATCTGAACACCAAAACCAGAAGATTTCCAGAAAATAGTGACACTATAGTTACAACATTTCTTTTAAAAAAAAGGAAATTTCAATTGTTTACAACATTCTTCTCCTCTCCACAAAAGAAAAGTAAATGTTAACCAAGACTTATAACTTTGTAATATAATTATAGTTCCCAAGGGTGAAAGGTGAAAGAACCAAAGAGAGATACTCACAGAACAACATAATTCAGAAAATCCTTTGATTCCTAGGAGATAAAACATAAACATAGCTTTATTTAGAAGAATGGGATTATTAGCCCTTTAAGCATCAGCTCCAATACATTCTACATCCATCCAGAAAGGGGCCAGCAAATACAGAACTGTCCAGTCCTCCCCAGCTTTGCCACATAGTACAGCATTTTGGCTAGAGGTTAGCCCAGCAACAAGTCTCTCACTTCCCCTACAAGGTGACAGCATGGTCTCATCTATGTTATTCTGTGGGAAGAAACAGACATCTCCAATCCAGTCTCTTGTTTGGGAGTTTGTAGTCTCTCAACAAGGCCAGCGTGGAAGACAGGAAAGAAGAAAGGAAATGAGAGAAATGATTTACAGAGTCTGCTGAGACTCTAAGCTTCAAGGGATATGCACAAAAGGAGTCAGTGGGAATCTGCGAAAGAGCAGCTTGGGCACCTGCTGAGGCAGTGCCAACAAACAAGAGAAAAACAGCTGTTTATGGTAAGTGCTGCAGGACCTCGCTGTGCAACTGCAGGGCATCCAGGGTCCTGAAATTCATTTAGCTCACAAACTACAGCACTTAGTGCAAAACATCTCAAACGCTCCATAATACCCATCCATCACTAAACCTCAATTTCTCCTAACAGCCGATGCCCATGTTTGTCATTACAAGAATCCCCACTCCCGCCAATATAGGGGTGTATTTCCCAAAAGGCTTGACAATCTAAGGACAAATGTTACCGATCAAGGAAAAACTGATGAACACAAAGCGAAGACAGCAAATGGGTTCATGCACCATACTCACTGATCACACAACGTTTGTGACACTGCATCAATGAGGCCAAACCCTGTTATATCCATGTTTAAAAAAGCCAGTTAGACTAGATCAGACCTATGGCTGGATCCAGCAGTCCCCAGGAAAAAGCCTTCACCGACTTCAATAGGAGTTTTGTACGAGTAAAGATAACAGAACTGGATCCTAGCGAGGCTTAACATGGTTTGACTTTGCTACATAGGCTGTACCTACATTGGCAGTTTTAGAGAAGTTTTCCACAGTTGTACCAGCACCAGGGGAGCTCCACTGGTAACAAACACTGGGAGCACAAGTGCGAACAGGCTTTGGCCTTTTTTACCACCACGCAGTTTAAAAATTACTGAGCATATTTAAACAACATGGGGGGAAAATCAGCAGTGGCCAGTCTACATTTGCTGTCCCATAGGTTAACAGGGTAAGTTGCACTTCCATGAGATACCCCTAAAACTGCTAGTATAACAAGCAAAGTTATAGGCTGGCAAAACAGTGTTATAAATGCGGTTTGTGGCAACTGTGTTTGAACAACTTCTAAAAGTGATGGTTTGACCAATTAATATAGACTTCCAGCTTCAGCTGCTGAGAATAGTACTCACTCTGCTTGTGACGTTTCCTTGCACTAGCCCCTCCACATATAGATGTGATTTGAAGCCCTTAACAAAGGATGAGAGGGACTCAGTGTAAAGGCCCTTCATTAATCTCCTGTATCTATCTATCATAGACCACTTGCCATGCTCCAAAATTAAAGAATGCACATCTCTGTAATAAACAACAAAAAAGAATAGTTTTAATTAAGTGTCAATTCAGAATGTGTTGCCCAATAGGGACTTTAAATCCTGAACTACTTCTATCCACGCTCTGTGACCAGCACAATTTCAGCTAATCCTAACCAGAAATACCAAAGTACTGGTTAATCTGCCCTAGAGCTTCAGTCCTACCTCAGCTCCAAAATGTCTCGGGTAACCTGAGCCCTCAGTGGCACAACTGCTTTGGAATATCCCTGGGGGAAGACTTAAATACTGGTTCCCAGGATAACACTGTACACTGCTTTTGAATTTTGCCAGGATGTGTCATAACGCAGATTGTTTTTCTTTTCTAGGCCACTTATTTAACTCTGTGGACCTCTATTTCAGACTGCTGGTGTTTTTTAACCCACAATGTTACTCAGCCAGCTATAGGAACTCCACAAAGTGAGCTGTCATCAGAAGCAGAATTGCAGAGTAGCACAGGCTGTTTAAACAACAGAAGAACATATTAATAAAAACATCTTAAATTTTCACTCTATATATTTGAAAACTGAACAGGCAGAGGGTTAATTATAGGGTCCAACCAGTAAGAGCTGAAGCCAACTCTACCTCCCTCCCTCTCCTCCTACTCCCTCCCCGCCCAGCATCTCCCAGCAATATCAAGCCTGGAGGAAATAGAAGTGAACCCAAATATGCTATGAGGGCTAATGTGATTCTTGGATGTAGGGAGGAGGTATGAACCATTGATAAGATGATTATTGGAATACTGTGTCCGGTTCTGGTGTCCACACTTCAAAAAGGATGTTCAAAAATCGGAAAGGCAAAGCCAAAGGCAGCAGAGAAGGAACTGAGGGGGGGGGTTGGTTGCACAGCACTATGTAACCGCCTGTGGCAGCGCAAGATGGGGACAGCACATGTACAACCCAACCACGCACTGCTACCACAAATCTCCGATTACAAGTGCAGTGGCACACAATTAACTGTAGCCCCTGAATTTGATATTACTGTGTATGCCCCAGAATTTGACAGTACTATAGTCAGGTATCTTGTGTGTTCAGCCACTGTCAGCTGAAAACCAAACATCAAATAGCTGCATGTTTGCAATTTTTCTATCAGAATGGAAGGTTGGGACAAAAAGTGAAGGTTCCATTAAAATAGAGGGAATGTTTCGACAAAGACCTTGGTTTTAGGTGCCTCTAATTTGGAAGTTTATTGTTGTTATGACTAGAAATGCTTTGATGCTAAGGAGAATAATGAACTGTTATTGTCTGTTACTAGAGAAATTGTTAGACTATTAGAGGCTATTATGAATTATGCACTTTGTCTGGAGAAAATGTATAAAGAGTTTAGTAGAAAGGGTGCTTTGGAGCAGTTTGAGGAAGTTTTCTTTGGGCAAGGATCTGATATCTAAGTTCACCAGCAGCTAGATAGAAGGTGGGCCCCCCCCCGAAGCCTGGCTTCTGATTCCTCAAAACCATCTCTTGGATTTAAGTAAATAAAAATGTTTTAAGATGCTCTAAACCTACTGCAACAGCATATGTATAGGTCAGCTTGAGATCTAAAAAAAAAAAAAAAAAAGTCATTTTCGGTGAAAGCAAAGACAGTTACCTTTTCCGTAACTGGTGTTCTTTGAGATGTGTTGCTCATGTCCATTCTATATTATGTTCATTCCATATTAGGTGTACGTGCTCGCCACATGCACCGATGCCGGAAGTTTTTCCCTCAGCAGTATCTGTAGGGGACGGGCTCTGGCTCCCTCTGGAGTGGCGCCCACATGGCATGGTATAAGGGGCACCACCGGCTCCCCCCCACCATCAGTTCCTTCTTGTCGGAAACTCTGACAGTGGGGAAGGAGAGCAGGTCACTGAATGGACATGAGCAACACATCTTGAAGAACACCAGTAACAAAAAAGATAACTGTCTTTTCTTCTTCAAGCGCTTGCTCACATCCATTCCATATTAGGTGACTCCCAAGCAGTACCCCTGGAGGTGGGTAGGAGTTCATGGACATGTAGATTGCAACACAGCTCTGTCGAACCCAGCATCATCCCTGGCCTGATGAGTGATAGCATAATGAGCGGTAAATGTGTGAACAGATGACCACGTTGGGACTCTACAGATGTCTGGGAAAGGGATGTGCGCCAGGAAGGCCGCTGAAGACGCCTGTGCTCTTTTTGAGCGGGCTCTGACGATCGGCAGCAGCAGAACCCCCGCCAAGTTGTAACAAGTCTTTATGCATGACGTAATCCAATTGGAAATCCTCTGTGAGGACACGGTGATCCTATCCAGTGTAGCGACAAAGAGTTGAGTCAATTTTCGGAAAGGCTTGGTACATTCTAAGTAAAAAACCAAGGCCCTTCGGATGTCCAGGGCATGAAGACACCTCTCCTTGTACGGTTTGGGACAGAACACCAGGAGGAAGATGTCTTAGGTCACATGAAAAGCGGAGACCACCTTTAGCAGGAAGGCCGGGTGGGGCTGCTACTGAACATTATCTTTGTAGAAGACCATGTACGGAGGTTCTGAGGTCAAGACTTTAATTTTAGAGACCCGTCTTGCTGACGTCATTGCCACCAGCAACGCTGACAGATGGGAAAGGGAGCAGGAACCCAGCGGCTAAAAGGGCAAGCCGGTGAGCCTAAAGAGGACCAAGTTAAGATCCCACTGTGGGACAGGGGCCCATACCTGTGGGAAGAGTCTCTCAAGCCCCTTCAGGAATCTGACCGTCTTGTCATGGGAAAACACTGTCTGTCCTTGGATCAGTGGATGAAAGTGGAGATGGCCACAAGATGCACTCTAATGGAAGAGTGCGCCAGGCCCTGGTGCCTCAAATGAAGCAGGTAGTCCAGGACAGTCTGTATGGAGGAATGCGAGGGAGAGATGCCCCGTTCAGACGCCCAGAGGGAAAACCTCGTCCACTTGGCCAGGTAAGTCAGTCTAGTTGAGGGTTTCCTACTTTCCAGGAGGACCTGTTGCACTCCTTCTGAACAGGTCCACTCCTCCAGAATCAGCCACTCAGCATCCTCGCCGAGAGGTGAAGGGACCCGAGGTTGGGGTGTAGGAGTTGACCATAGTCCTGTGACAGCAGGTCCGATCCGTTGGGCAGGGGCCAGGGAGGGGCCGCTGACAGGCTCGTGAGCGTGCTGAACCAGGGCTTGCGAGGCCATGTTGGGGCAATCATGACAACCTGTACCTTGTCTCTCTTGAACTTTGCCAGGGCCCTGCTGATTAACAGAATCAGAGGGAACGGGTACATCAGGCTCCCTGACCACGACAGGAGGAAGGCATCGGAGAGAGAGTCCTTGCGTAGACCCTGTCGAGAACAAAACTTGAAGGGCTTCAGGCGTCAATGGCACCTGAAGCTGTCTGGGGTCTGCATCACTATCTAGAGTCACAGGCAAAGCATGGTATGGGCTGCACTGCTTGATTTGAGCGGGGGCCCAACTTCCTGAGGGGGATGTTGAGCTGCCCGACACGGATCTTGGCTCTCCCCCTGCCCTTTCCTTTCCTTGGTGGGAGGTAGGAGATCTTCCCCTCACAGTCTTTTTCGGCTGCTTGACTGGAGCCGTGGAGGGAGACTGGTGCCAGCTCGTGGATGGTGCCAAGAGAGCACTGCGCACAGAGGCCACGGTGCTCGGTGCGGAGTCAGACCGCTGCTCCTTTATCGGAGTGAGTGCCGACTCCATTAGGAATGCCCCTAGAGAGATATCGTGCTCCTTCTTTGTCCTAGGTTTGAAGGACTTGCAGACACAGAACTTGTCATTTATGTGCCCTTCACCTAAGCACCTTAGGCAGCTGGTATGTGGATTGCTGATGGGCATAGGCCATTTGCAGCGATTGCAGGGCTTAAAGCCTGGGGACTGGGGCATGGCCTGATCCCCGGCAGGGTCCCGTCCAGACTAACGAAGAGTTCGAGAACTACTACTCAGGGTAACTAAGAAACTACTAACTATATATAACTATTTTACAGGATTTCAAAGTTCGCAAGAACAGAGAAGGAACCAATGCTAGCCGAAGCAGCAGATGTTCCAGCAACATCACTGGCGGCAAAAATGAACTAAGGGTGGGGGGACCTGGCAGTGCCCGTTATACCTTGCCATATGGCCGCCACTCCAGAGGGTGCCAAAGCCGGTCCCCTACGGATATTGCTGAGGGAAAAACTTCTGGCACCGGTGCATGTGGCGAGCACACACACCTAATATGGAATGGACATGAGCAAGCACTCTAAGAAGACCTTTAGCTTGTGCCAATTATTTATCAGAGAGATGAGCTGTGCCCCATTGATTTATTCCTGACCGCCTGGAGAGAAACAGATAACTAAACTGCTTTGGGTTCTGAAAACCCCGGGTAATAGGACCTTCCAGGATAAAAAGTGGAAATGGGCAAGTGGCCGCGAAGGACACCGCTTTTCAGAAGATTCCGGAAGATTGTAGCATAGGCGTCTTGATCCCACAAATGGGAATATGCAGAGGCCACTCAAGAACCATAATTATTTGGGGGGTGGGGCATGGAATGAAAAAAAATTCTTTTCCCCAATTCGTAATCCAAAAGACTTGTTTCTAGGTATGTACAGATATGAACATAAGAACTGTGGAAGTATAACATTGCATAAGGGGACATGCTGGATACATTGTATATGAGAGGGCATGCCAAAACATGTTACAAAGTATCTGAGGGAGCACACGTAGGGACAGTTAGCTTTTGAATGGAGAAGCAATTAAGATAGAGCCAGCACATCTAAGAAGCAGGCATCAGAATGGAAGGTGTGAAGGGCAATCAGTTAAGTTAACTGGAAGCTGTTAAAGGAGATTGTTAAGGGTGGCAGGTAATTGAAGATACATGACTGGTCTCAGGGATCTCGAAGGGTGGTGACTAAAATCTTTTCTTCTTTTGTTTGTAACTTCTCTGTAACTTGTTCTCCAAAAAACTGTATAAATTAAAAGACACAAGCCCCACTCGGGGGGCTCAATTCTAAATGTATTATTAGCAGAGCAGCTTTGCTAATAAAACATA